GTAGGGCCGGAGGGACACATCAGGGCCTAAAGGCCCGACCTTGGGGGATTTCAGGCCGTAAAGGCCTTATCTTGGACCAGTACCCGACGGGCAGGCCCAAACCACATTCCGTTTGGGCCTGGCGGCGCTCTTGAGGCTGCCGCCCGCCGATTGGGGCTGAACCRTCCATCTGGAYGGTTCAGGSCATGGCCAGGCCTCGCAGCATTGAGGCCAGCCTCTGCCCTACCGGTATAAAGTACCGGTCCAGCCTCACGTAGAGGCATCGACCTACCGGCACTATACCGGTACGGTATGGTCAGCGCCAGAGCGCTGTTTGATGTGCTAAGTATAGCGCAGGAGCAAGCGAGGAGCAGCAGCGGCAGCGCAGCATTAGCRCAAGCRGCAAGCGGAGCAGCAGCAGGGCRACTGAGCCAGCACGGCGGCCATTGCCGCCTGAGGTACCTGGGAGCCGGAGGACCTCTCCTCCCTCCCTCGTCAGTCCTCTCTCTCTCTCTCTCTCTCTCCTCCTCCTCCTCCTTCTTCTTCTTTTTCTTCTTCTTCTTCTTCTTCTTCTTCTTCTTCTTCTTCTTCTTCTTCTTCTTCTTCTTCTTCTTCAGATTGGAGACTATACTAGTTGGACAGAGATCAGTGTTGGACTTCGGTGGTATGAGACTGTGGTACTTACCGGATTGGAGACTTGGGGATCGTTGGGGTTGATACTTGGCGACATCACAGTTCAGACACCGGTTACATTTGGACTCTGTATCCCCGACATTGGTGACCTATGGTCCTCGACAATTTGATCTTGTTGGATGACATTTTGGACTACCATATCGGTGACCTATCAGATTCTATCTYGGTGACTTTCGGTGCTGTCTACCTCCCCCCCACCTCTTCGTCTCTCCTCCCCCATTCATCTGTGTATGTGTGTACGGGGCTGAGCATCTTCTATGTATGGCTCAGACCCCACCACCTCACGATTGTATGTGTGTGGAGTGATGCTATGTGAGTCAGTCTATGTGAGTCAGTCCGTACATCAGACTTCCGCTGCATATATGCTCATCCTACATTGGTTGATCTTTGGTTCTTCCCATACTCATTGAAGTATGTAACAGCATGTGACACAGTATGCACTAGACTGTTATGATCCTGGCCAATTTCGAAGTACACGTTCATCAGAAAGTACAATGCCGTCCAATTGCAAAAAGAAATTAATGAACTTGAGAGGAGAGAGAGGGAAAGAAGAAGAAGAGGAAGAAGAAAGAAAGAAGAAGAAGAAGAAGAAAGAAAGGAGAAGAAGATGATGTACACCAGCATAGACCAATGGTAATGCTCTTCTTCTTCGCCAACCACTCTCCTCCTCCTTATCTCCTCCCCTCTTATTCAAACAAAAAGTAATAATAATATTGCTGAATGGCTGAACCAGAATCAATGTCCGAATCCCTCTTCTACTGCAGGTATCAAATGAGGTCCACCATAGCCATGGCACCCTTCTCCTTCCTCTTCTCGAAGGCCTAGGCTATGGCGGACTGCTAGGGCCTTGCCCTGATGTGCAGAAGACAACTCAAGCAACTATGGCTGCTCTAGCTCAGGCCGCCATGCCTGACTCTGCCTCGAAGCTTCTTGGTGTAGCTCTACCCCCGCTGGGGCCTTCTTGCTGCAGCGCCCGCCAAGGTGATGAAGATGGCAACCACCATAGCCAAGTAACTACCTCTGCCGCTCCTCCCTTATAGTCCTGGTCTTCTTCCTCCTCCTGCCCGTGCTCCTCCGCACCAGAGGTGCTCCAGCCAGCGCTCCAACCAGTGCGTCGCCAAACTTGCACACCGACAATGAGGAGGAGCACCTTGCTCCTCCTGGAGATATAGCGGCCTGCTTGCCTCTTGGTGAGTGATCTCCTAGTCCGCGCGGCCTCCAAGCAACAAGTACCTCCTCCCTTTCAGGGGAAACATCATTGCAGACTCTGATATTGCCCGTACAGGCCCTTGACTCAGACTGGTTGGACCGGTACCCACCTATACCTAGCCTACAGCTGCTGGGCCTGTAAAAATGCCAACTTTTGTCTTCTTCTGCTCGGCCTCGAGTACCCGGCACATCTACCTCTGCTTGGTGTGGTACCGGCCTACCTGCTACTTGAGTGTTTTCCGCTGCTCCAAGTGTCGTGGGCCTCTTTCCCCGCCACTTGAGTGTTTTCCCCCGCTGCAACCCTCAATGTACAAGCGGGAAACTCAGGCATACATTCCATGAGCAAAACTCAGAAATCAGCTGTGTGTCTCAGTCCATGTTTGGCAGGTCATTACAAGACAGTGAATAGCATGGCAATCGGTTGGGGCAGGGGGGCAGGAGGTGGCACACAACAAGACTGTGAGTCACTGAGTCATGCACTAGGTAGCATTTATAGCAAGGCAAGTGAGCAGGTAGGTGGACGGGCAGGCAGGCACGCACACAGTCACACAGGAAGGCATGTGGGAGGGCAAGCTGTCTCAGCAGGGAAACAGCATCAGATGGGTACTTAGAACACTACGCCCGAGAGCACTAGGTCTTGAAAAAATAAGGAGTAATTTCAGCCACAGACTTCCATTCAAATTATAATCATGCCGCAAGTGGAATTTAAATAAGAGCAGAAGAAGCCATTGCAAAGGTATGGAAAGAAGCACACAAAAGTGAGCAGGAAAGTGGTAGTGACAGACTGATCTGTTAGACCCTCACCGACTCGTCAGGAGGTGGTACTCGCAATAGTCTACAGAATCTCCTAATGGTTAGCCTGATTGGCACGCTGCATTTGAACCCAGTTGAAATGGGCAGGCAGGTGTATGGAGGCAACAAGGTCTGCAGCCGAAGGATCTGCAAGTGGGTGAGCGGGCAGCACATGAAGCAGCAAGGCAGCAAAGGAAGGGGCAGCAAGACATGCAGAGGCAAGGTCAGCCATGGGTGCGTTGGCACCCATCAAGGCACATAGCAACTCGAGACCTTGAATAGACATGGAGCCACAGGACGGATGTATTTCATGAGCAGGAAACAGGACCTGGAATGTGGTGAGGGAGGACTTGCATGATAATTGTGGGTAGGTAGGATGAAGCATGGAATTTTGTCTCATAGCTTGAAGGTATGACACTGTTGTCAGGCGTATGTACTGCTGATGCATATGCCCTCTGTGGTTAACTATACTCAGAGGCATCACCAACACACCAGTCCAAGTC